ACTCTGTCAGGGACCTTCGAGTTTTAGGTCACGCTGTGTACTGCAAAAGGTCAAAAGGGCTCCAGGCGCAAGGTCACAGTGAGGTCATCTTGAGCCAATTACCATCGCCAACGTTCTGCAAGTCTGTACATGTACAGTACTTGGCATGTATCAGCCCAGGGTCCACAGAGTACATGTACATGTACTGTACATTGTACAGTGTACATGTACATGTGCAGACGGACATTTTCTGCACCTCATTAAATATGCAGCAAGTACATGTACACTACGACAGAAGCGAGCAAATGTATGGCCCATTATCGTAACCGTGAAATTGTTGTAAAAGTACCATTTTTCCGAGAAATTAACCCGTAAAGGGTTATTCACAGTTATTACGGGGTGCTTACTGAACTAACTCTGCCTAGGTTTTTTTTATGGATTTTTATGGCCCATTCACCGAGCATTAACAATGGTTTGACATCCCCGCAGTTGAGTTCACTGGGTAGGAGTTGGCCTATTTCACGGATAACTGTAGAAATATCGAGGTTGAAACTACGTTTGCGACTCACCACTGGCTGACCATTAAATTTTGGTCGTTATAATCGCGACACGTATTTCAACAATAATTGAACCATAAATACTGTCAATATTCATACGTCGATACAGCGCTGGCTCACAATATTTAATAAACGTCTTACTGTGACGTCAGAACTACGTCACAAAAGTGAGGTTGAGATAAGATTGTATTATGGTCATTGAAGCTGGAACAACCAGCCAACCAGCTTTCAACTAAACTTCGACGTTATGTCGTGTGCCTGATACATCATGTGGGAAAAGAGCTTCTAGTAAGATATCCCACACCTGACAGCTAGACCGTCACGTAGGCCTTCTTCGAGAGAATGCCAACATCTTTTGGGTGTAGATTTTATACATGATCAGTATCTCACCAATCTGTACAGAGATCCAACGTCGTGACAAAAACACAAAAACTGTTGCTGGTTATCAAGTGACAGCTTTGCAACACTGAGAATATCGACATCTTTGCGATGTTGAATGGTCCATCCAATAGAGCATATGCATCGACTTTGCGATGTTGAATGGTCAATCCAATAGAGCATATGCATCGATCCAACAGGGGCTATGTTTACGATAAATATGCAATAAATGCAGTTCTTCAGGTGAGACCATCGAGACGGAATTACCGTGACATCGACATATACCCTATGTTGATTTCATGGCCAGATTCGCATGTCGATGCAGTATTGTGTCAAAAGCACAGAAAGGTGAAATATCGCTTCAGAATATCAATACTCGTCCGATGTTGATTTTTGTGGACGAATCATTTCATGATTTTAATATCTTTAACATAATGTGGAATACAGATGTTCTTTTTCAGGTGCCGTTACCATAATAAAATTTCAACGTATTTCAAATGCCAATTTTATAGCCAGATCTACACATCGACCAATGTCATCATACGCGGACAAAAGGTTAGTTTGAAGGTGTCTATATCGCGACAAAATATCGACATCTTTTTAGTGTTGATTTGATGGCAGACCTGAACAAGAATTCAATGGCGCAATCATAACGTTAAATAGAAGTTGCTTTTATGACGACAGTATATCTACGTGTTTTCAATGTCGATTTAGGGTAGGATATGTATCTTGATTCAACATCGAGAACAGGGCATAATCATCGAACCTTGGTTGCAACGTAACTTCAACGTTCAACGTTGAAACAACATTGAATGCATATACTCTACTGTACGTCGTAAAAAAGTGGTATCAACGTTGCATCTGCGTACATGTAGGCCTACATGTACATGTATTTCGACGTCGTGATCAACAAAAACCAAACGTTTAAAACAAGGTCGTGTGCCTCCTGGGAATAGCTCCCCGGCCAGTCAATTTCCGGTATCAATCATGCAGACTGCGTTCAGAATATCTTAGAGAAAACAAGGTAAGTACCGGTCCTAGTGGACACATGTTATGTCCATCTTCACTGAAAATTTCCGCATCTTCAATGAAAAATTCCGCAACTTCGCACAGATATGAATACATTATGTTCCTAAAAATCCTGCATAGTTTACTGTGCAAGCTTGCTCGAGCAGGTAGCTGCAACTACCCCACAATGACAACCCGACCTTTTACTGCTGAGACAGCATGAGGAATTTTCCTGCTGCGACAAATATATATTATTTCCGAAGACACGTCATTTAGCCATCGGGGACGCCATGAAACTCCACATACCCGTCTGAGGGTGCACCCTTGCAAAAAGGCCCAAAATATGTACGCCGAGCTCATTAATAAAACTTATACACTCAAAATATTCTATATTAGAGAGTCCCGAGAGCCATAAAATTGAGGAATTCGAGAAATATTGCACTGAACCTCTGGGCCGGACTCGGGGCTTCCACTTTTGAGGAATTTGGGTGCAGTCGGGTCCTAAAATGGCACTATTTGGCCGTTTTGCAGAGGGATGGTTTTTCAAAATGGCTACTTTTCCGGGCAGGGACATTTTCTTCATTTTAAGGGTGGTCTGCTTCTGGTGAAACGTTCTCAAAAATTCATCAGCCAACCCCCCGAAAATTGACAGGAAAATGGAAGGGGACCTGTCGATCATCGTTTTTCTGTGCAGCCTGGACACCTGTGAGAGATGTGAGTATTTTTAAAATATTTATGAAATGTGGGGATTTTCCATTGCGGTCGATGGGAATTAATTTGTAGTGGTGCACCCTGGACGTCCTTGGACTTTGATCCAACACGTTGTTCTATATGTAGTACATGTGCATGTTCTAATACAGGGCAGTGATATGTACATTGTAGGCACGAGGCCAAGCGAACGGAGCCGATTCTCAAACATAACGTCGGCCTTGTGGGTAAACTTTGGCGATATAAACGGGGATTTCACAACATCTGAACACGATTTCAGCCAGGTAAATTTTTCCGTTCTATTGAAGTCGCGGAAAGGTCGAGGACGAATCTGCGGTTTAGAGGATACAGGTAAAACCCCTTGTCTGGTTATATATAATCCCAGCACCCCAAAAAGTTGAGCAAACCTTTCTGACAGTGAGACAATTTACTGTAGAATGAAACATTTTCCAAATTAAAGTCCCTTAGAGCATTCCCAAAATTTGCAATTGAGATTCCCCAAAGCTAGTTTAAAGTCCATTGGAACTTCACATATTTACAAATTTTATGTCAAAGAAACTGTAAGACAGAAAATCAAGAACAGACTATCTCTACTATTATTTGAGAAAATCATGGCAAATTACAAAGGCCTCGAGAATAGTTGTCCACGTCTTATCCGCCTGTGTAATTGTAAATTGAGTGGACAGTTTTTGAAGTTTTAAGACATCTTTAACTAAAATTTTAAATTATGTACCCTTCCCTTCATTCAAAATGCTAGTATAAATGTTTTGAAATTGCTTTTTTATCGCATTAACGTTTTCCACATTTGTAGTTCCTTTGTTTATGCTCTAATCATATCACTTTATTTTCAACTATATTTTTTAAATAATAAATCACAAGCCATTCATCTGATACGTCCATATGCATTTGTTATTTTACTGTAACTATACCTTCTTGAATTGAAATAACATGGAGGAAAGTAGACGTCCATGCCCGCTGTAGTGTACAAAAGAATGCTAGAGTAAATTCTTATGTTTGCATATACAATACAATGTGTGTTCCACTGACACGATGATACTCACCCGCAGTGCGAGGAAGCCTATGACCAGAGCTATAATGTCGGACAGCATGTGAAAGGAATCCGAGACAAGAGCCAGTGACTTGGTCGCGTAGCCCGTCACCAGCTCCACCAGGAAGAACGAGGTGGTAAGCGACATCATCACCACGAACCGACAACTCTTGCCGGTGAACCGTCCCATGGTGGTTGACAATTAACATCAATCCCACTGAACTAGACAGAGACCAAGATTAAAGTCGAAACTGTCAATAACGGGTCTATTATCTCACAATAAGTAGGCCTATCAGTGGGAGTATATAGGTCGACGAAGGCCACCATCCCATATCATTTATCATGGACCTACTGCACCACTGGTCGGTATTTCGCAAAGTGTTGCGAAAGATGTATAAGTCGCTTACGCTTAATTATGGGCAAACTCGCTCCATAACGTTGGTCAAATCATACCCGAATTCACTGAAGATGAAGTTAACTTTAAACACACTTTCAAAGGACAAAGTTTCCGGAGCTCTATGCGGTGTCCCGAAGCTGAATCGTAAAGGACATGCTTTGAAACATTCCATCCCAGCATGTGTCACAGTACCACGCAAACAGCTGGAGATAAAACGCGGCCCTGAACCGAACTCGATCTCTAACCGGCTTTTCCGACAACCAAAGATCAAGAGGACTGCGGCACACTGGTCCAATAATAGCCATGCCTTTCCCAAGTTTTCCGGATTATATCCAATTCTACGTTAACTTATCATGCAGAACGCATTCCAAGCTAAGGCATTCATCCTGTCGATAGTGTCAACAGCAGCCCACTTCGGGACGGTAATCCGTTGATAGCAATACACAGTCCTTGCTCTGTGGTTGAGTGGTGAATTCGGTTTTTGGCATATTGCAGTATGCAGTATTTAGCCAGGGACAGCGTTCACTGAATCGGTCACAGAATACTATGGCCTACGGGACTGTGACACAAAGGGAAATAAAATTTCCCATAGACACCTAGGCCTAGTGCCACGCGTTTATATATAGATCGACCACAGGCTATCAGGTGAGGGACCAGTGTGTCCAAAATCCAAAGATGAAACGACCGTTGTTACTTTGACGTTAGATATTACAGTATTCAACAATGAGTACTTTGAGCCACTTCAGTAAAAACCACAAATAGAAGCACGCAGCAGTGTAATCGGTAACCTCTAACATCAGGCTTTTGTTGAAGAGCAAATATTGTTCACTGCTTTGGCATAGTTATTTGCCGACATATTTTCCATGTACCTCATTTGTATACACCTCTTTTTTCTCCTCAGAATTAGATCAGGGTTTATGAAAGAACGCACAATCAGAACATGCAACCTCGTAGTCGCAGTCACTCGCACACTGTAGGAACGGTGACACGTAGGACACGTAACAGCACTCGATTCAGTGTGTGACGTTTGACCCAGGCCACAGAGAATGACCTCACTTAATAGTCCTGAATAGAATAGATATCTCTCACTAATAAATTCATAATTATGGACGCATGCGCACAAATGGCCTTGGCGGCAAGAAGTGTGACCGGGCACCGGGCCGTTGAAAATGTACAGGGGTGTGAAATCCCATTAAATCGTTTTCGGTATTAGTTTGTAATTTAAGTGGAATTTTTAGTGCTTCGTAAAAAGATTTTAAAATCGTAATTTCTCCTGTGCACACGAGATGGTCGTTTCGCAGTGTGGCCCCCTTCCATCATAAGTAGCATAAACTCATAAAGATGAACATCATGAAGATGTTGCACTAAGATTGCGCATTATGGCAATTAGCATTCTCATAGGTTTAAGGGTCTGGATGTAGGTTATTGCTGCAGAATATCAACGGAAATGTCCATCGGGTTCCGTTCCTGTAAGAAACACTGCGCAACATTACTTCTTTCCGTTGCCATGCACAAATGGGCCTTTACAAAGGGCAAACCTGCAAAGCGATATAAGCACGACGGGATAGTTTACATGACTATATGCCCCTGCAAATGACTGACATTCCGCAGCATCACTAGCCTGGAAGCGCCTTGTGACGAAAGGAATCGAACTATGCCGGTCAGTCCGTGACGATTTACCTTACGAGACCGGCGACTGGCCAGAATAAGCCAGGGAGTGCAATGGTCCTTAAAGGTACAGTTCATCAATTGCAGTAATCCAAAACTAAATGACGAAATTATTGGAAAGTGTAGCTGATTCCTAGATGGTTGCGGGACTAGGCTCCATGTGAAATTGGTATTTCTGGCGAGCAGTCATTTTGAAGAAAACCGTGAAAAAGGTTATTTCCAACGATGCACCTAAAGATTTAAAGTTCACTTTTAATTCAGCGTAGCGCGCTAGCGTTGACAAGACACGCGCGCAGGGTAAAGGCACCTTTCCATGTACGTTTTTGGGGTGGCTTGCATACATGACGTGTTCATGCGTTTCACTTTCAATGACACGAAAATCGACTCCGTTAATTCGTGAGCGTGGCCTACTGAAATGACAAATTAAGTGCTTTTCCATTTGCGCGTTAACACTTACGCCAAGCATTGCATATCCGTCAAAATCGCTACATCTCGCCACGACACTAAAGTGAGGATTTCAAAGTGATGCTCACGCCGTTTTATAAAGTTGGTCAGTATCTTTATCGTGCCAAAAACAATTTGTCTCGCTTGTTTACATGACCATACACATTAGTCAATTCATGTCTACAAACACAGTCCGTCACGGAAAGTGATCTTGTACTAATTTTACGTCGTCCAGCAATTCTAGAGAATCGTGTAGCAGCAAAATTAAATTTGTCCATATCCAAATCGTAAGCAAAATCGTCAATTGACTAAGGTTTTGCATTACTAACGATTTTTCCTTCTATTTGACGAATTTTTCATCCCTCTTGACTAAATAAAATTTTCATTAAAGTACTAGAATGGAGTCAGGTTTGTGTTGTTGCAACTCCTTCGACAGTAATGGGGAAATGAAGCATCTGTCTTCATTGTTGAGATCGTCGCTGTTTGCTCCTTGGGCACCATCATCATCATGAAGTCACTGATGGTTGCTGACTCACACCAATCAGAGCAGCTCAAAGATGTTGACGAATCACTGAGATCATTTGTTGTGGACGAGGAGATATGTGTCAGGGGGTGGCATTGGTCAGAGTGCTGCCTGTACTCTCCTCTGAATCAAGCCTCAGTACTAATTTTAAGAATCAGGAAATAGAAATATTTTAATAAGGTTTACTAAAAATCCCCTTGAAATTGCATCATTGGGTTTCAATTAACCTTATTTTAAATTATGTTTTGCATTTTTAACTCATATTTAGATACTTTTTGGTTTTTTATGCTAATACATATTTGCGTATTCATGAGCAGAACTATGATATCATCCAAGACACTGAATCTCAATGTTGCACTGATTTGTGCACAGAAAAATTCTAGATTTTTTAACCATTGCTATGGCAGATTTTGCTTTCTTTGGCAATTTATTGCTGTGTACGTGCATGGCAATAATCCAGCAAAAATCGTTTTCACACAATGTTCCCAGATAGCAAATTTTGGATGAACAATTTCAACATGAAAACATGCAACTTCAACCGTGTCTTCCTGGATTTACATCAAAGCAAAAGCGCCCTCACTTGTTGAGAAATGCTTGGTCAATTTTTAATGTTTGAAGAAGTGCACCGTTCAGTTCACGTAACTCAAAACAGATGTCAAACAGTCTTCATACATGGAAGAAGAGTACAGAGATACACAAAAAGTGATTCTAAGAAAAATCCATTTCCTGGTTCCTTTAAGAACTGGAGAAATTAGTCGTGGTGGTAAGAGAAGTGGTTCTATTCTTCCCAGCTCGGTTCACCATCAGTGATTGCGCTTAGTGCATCCTTACTTGCGTGAAAAATGACGTGTATTGTAAAAGTAACATTTTGACAATATACATTTTAAAACCTGTTAAAAAATTATGTCCAATAAAGTGTGTCCATTATGACAGACCGAATTATGAAAGATTAAAAAAATGTCAGAGCTCAGATTATAGTCGAAGTTTTAGAGCTCAGATCCCATAATGATCCCACAATGGGAGAATGTTTAGCAACTTGTCACCATGATCTTACACTAGCTCAGGAAAGTAATACACGTATTTGATACACCGAAAGCATTATGCAGTATTCTATCCAAAATGAGCTAAAGTTTGGAATTATAAAAATAGCAACAAGGTTGGCGATGCAAAAGTTTTAAAGCAGTTCATTTTTCAGATAAACCACAATCTACATGAGTAGTTTCGTATTCTTAGAAATTATTTGCTCTTTTTGAATCCTTTTGCGTCTACTGCACGAAATACAGGTAAGAAAAACAGGATAATTATCACATATAAAGTAGTGAACTCAGTACGGCCTGCACATACCACAGGAAAGCTCATGTTCTTTATAATCCATTAACAAACTCAAAAATCAATTGTTAAATTATAGTTTTGTACTTATTGGATTAAATATGTCTGCTAATCTTTTCGAAAGTTAGATTTCCATGATAAACAATGCCAAACGTAACCCTCCGAGAAGCTCCCCGTTATAGTTAAAAGACGTAAAAGTAAAGCAGTGGACGCTATATAAAATTCTGATGTTCTGCTGCTTTCATTATTAAGACATTCCTTATTAAGTTTATAACAACACACTCTTGATAGCTCTGTGCGATATTGAGGAATGTTTATAAAATTCTCAAACATTGTTCTTCCTTAGTGTAGAGAGATTTCAATCCGAGCGTTATCTTGTTTCTTTCACAGTGTTACCAAGCTCTGTTGAATTCAAATTCTAGAGGTGAAAATTGACCCATGAATGCTTCCATTTTTTTCTGAAGAATTAGAGATTTTAGTTTACACAATGGCAGTTTCTATCTCGAAATACCGAGAACCGGAATGGCCATTACTTCACACCACTGGATATACATGGAGACAGCTGACAGTTGCCACATGGGCGTAAATCTCGGGGAATGAGGGATATATGTCCACCTCGTTTCTACCCAAGAGGGATGAGCTTGAGTCATTTTGATCACACGCCCCTCCTCACTGTTCATTGGGAAGCAACAAATAATGCGTATTTGAACTGGAAGATAATTTCAAACTTTCCATTAGCCAAAAATGAATAACTGGTTCAAACTTTTTAAATGCACCATAATATAATTTGATTTCACAAATAATTATGCATCAGGTGGGTGCACCTACATTGTCCATTTTATTATAGCGCCCCATTTGCATTGTCCTAAAACGATCATTGTCCTGCAGTGGGTCAAAGTTCAATTTCTTAGTAAACACGATATTGTTTTCACGAGGTAGGGATCATATAGAAAAACAGTGATAGTATATAATTTGTTTCGAGTTACTTTGCTTTAAAGATACAGTTCATCTTAGCAAAAGGGCACAAAATTTAAAGATAGGTAGATAGGTGTCTAACAAAAACCTGATGAAGTTTCAACACAGAATGCTGTGTTTTCCCAGCAAAAACAATATGTTGGGATTAGGATTCTAAATCACAAGTTGTCAAGCTGACGATTTCTTCTTGCCGGGTTTCAAAGCCTGCATGGGCGGGTGCACAATATATACAACCGAGTGGTACCGGCGCCTAGTACAATGTATCTGCAGAGTGAGCTTCAACTGTACGTTCACGTCTGTCGACGCCGTTGCCATTTTCTAAGATCTGCTGGGAGTGGAGAGAGGAGAAAAGTTTTTGATGGGGTCTGTCAGCCCACCTCTTTGCTCTGACCGGGCCCAGGGCTGCACCCATGTAAATAGGCCAGAAATATATCCGCTGAGCTCATTAATGAAAGTAATACACTCAAAATATTCTATATTATAGAGAGGTCTGAGAGGCATGAAATTGTGGAACTGTGGAAATATGGCACTGAACCTCTGGTCTAGAAACAGGGCTTCTAGTTCTGAGCAATTTTTAGTGGGTGCAATCGTCTCCGAAAGTGGCACTATTTGGGTGTTTTGCAGAGGGATGTTTTTCAAAATGGCTACTTTTTTAGGCAGGGACATTTTCTTCATTTTAGGGGAAGGCTGCCTCTGGTGAAAATTTCTCAGAATTTCATTGGTCAACCCCCCTAAAAGTTGAAAGGAAAATGAAAGGGGACATATCGAACATCGTCTTTCTGTGCAGCCTGAACACCTGTGAGAGTTGTATTTTTCAAATAATGGTGGAGTATGAGGATTTATCATTGATGTCTATGGCAATTTATTTGTTGCGGCGCACCCCTAACGCCACAACGGGGACCTCCATGCTGGGGCCCCGACAAACAGACGACGACCCATAAGGGCAGTCTTCTAATAACATCGATAGTAGCTAGCGCGCCACCGGTAACGACCTGAAGTGTTCCTTTGCATTCTTAGTAATAATAAACATTGATAGCCTAAAAGCAATCGCTTTCTGATCATATATCAACAGGTCAAATATTTGCGCGGCACCTGGCCATTAAAATGACCCCCCCTTGTCTCCTTGAACA